GGACACCTAGTGGCTGCTTAGGATAATGCCTCAGGGACAGCGGTATAATCAGAGTGGGGACTGGGCTGGCCTGACACCCCCAGATCCCTCTGAGTGACTCCAAGTCATTGGAACGGCATACCAGCACTATTAAAGCCCCGCCCGTACCCAGAAACCAGCAAAATATAGCATGTTTGTTCACAAATAATACAGTGCAGCCATTTGGTGATCTTGAATTGGTTTAAAAGCCAATAAGCCACAGAAAACATCTAGACAGGACTGAGCTCAGAAGGGACAGACTTTGATATTAACTAGCCATGTAACTAGTTACGTCATTGTGCCTCTCTGAGCTTCCTTAACATCAGTAAAGTGAGAGATCAAATCAAGACGATCGATCTCTCTTTCTCTCTAGATGTCTAGATTAAACTGAAGGAAGCATTCTCTCCTCAACTTCATGGCCCATCTCCAAAGCTGGGCTACGATCCTAAATGATCAACCTTTTCCCCAAAGCTGTCTGAAAACAACTATGAGAACTGAAAAGAATGTTCTAGTCCATTTCCCCGACTTTATACATAAAGAAATCAAGATTTACTTTATGATTCATCATGTCTAACAGTGACAGGGAAAAAAAATCAACTAGAACTCAGGTATCCCAACCTCAGTACAAGGCCCGTTCTTCAGAATTGAGCTGCTGACCGTTCCCAGCCTCTTGAACTCTTGTCTGTACGAAAACTGACTGTTCTCAGACAGGTGTCCTTCCTATTTAAGTGCAAGTTACCTTCTTCTCCTTTCTTGGTGGCATCACTCCGAACTACTGGTGTGAGGGGCAATACCCCACAGGGAGAGTTCAGTTTATCTAGAGTAGAGGTCACAGGATTCCTAGTCCAGGAGGACTGTGTACTGGAGGCCTCGCAGTCTCTTTAGTCTGCTCTGTAGGTTCGGGAACTGTACTGGCCTAGCTGACCCACTGAGAGCAAAGCAGTCCCAAGTAGAGCTCCACCGAGTTTGGAAACGTTTGCCTTCATCAACAGCAGCCACATTTACTGCGAGCTCATTCCTATGTGGTGGTTTATCCAGCTCAGCCCACCCATCCTATTCCACCTTCACAGTGGAGGGGTGGAGGGCAACAGCTGTCATTTGCTGGGCCTGGAGCTGAACAGATGGGGCTGAGTTTGTCTACACAAGCACGAAACCAGTTCAGGCAGAGTCCCTCTTCTGACCAAGAAAGGAGGAGCACCATACCCCAGTGTGCCACCCAGACCTTGGTGATGCCCTGCCTTCCCTAATGCCACAACTCTCTTCCTGCTCAGTGGCAGCTGATCCCCAGTGTTCCAGGTTCACGCCTCTTTAGTGAAGAGTGCAAAGAAGAACTGGAGACACATCTGCAACTCCAGCACTTTAAAGGACGCGGCCAAAGGATTCCCTGAGTCTGAGGCCAGTGTGGGCATTAAAATGAAATCCTGTCTCCAAGTGGTAGAAGAGGAAGAACTGCTACAGAGTCGAATGGAATTAGATCTCAGCATGAGGGAGTGACTTACCTCAGCTCCTCATTTCTCTTCTTGCTCTCTCATTACCAGTGGGACAAGTTTACAGGATGTATTTTTTTAGCCCCTCCTCTGACACTCTGATTTCTCACACACCCTCCACTGAATGCTCAGTCTCTCCCCAACCTTGCCCTGAGTAGTGGATACAGCGAATATTGTGTTAGTGATGAAACCGCTGGCCTCATGAATTGAAGACTGACTTGAAAAGCTGACTGTCACTGACAGGCGGACTATAACCAAGTTATTGTTTGCCTGAGCTAAGTGCCTTCACCTGGAAAATGGAGACAACGGACAATCGCTTCACTGGGGTAAATAAAGAATTCACCAGAACTCTGGAAGAATACTTGGAGGAATCATTTCCATACCCAAGACCCCCAACATCAATCTGTGTAAGGCCTTCCAGGGTTCAAGTCTTCTCTCTCTCTCTCTCTCTCTCTCTCTCTCTCTCTCTCTCTCTCTCTCTCTCTCTCCCTCACACACACACACACACACACACACACACACACACACACACACACACACAGTGTGATTTGAAACTCAAATGGGAATAGCACCACAGAAGCAACTTTCTAGGATTTGAAGGTTTAGATTTTTGGGCAGTCAATATTAATGAGTTTATGGCTGTGTTTGAGTTCAGAAAGTTGGGAAATTCTGGGCTTCAGGATCCTTAGGCAACAGCGCACGTGGGAATAATGGAGTTAAACAAGCATGCTTGTTAGATAACAGGGGTTGTTATCAAGGCAAGAGGCTGGAAGGAGGGAATAGTAAACTCATGTCAAATTCTACTGGACCTACATCACAGCGCTAACCTATAGACGGTTTCACCCTCACACAGCTGAGAAAGGAGGTTCTTTTATGGGGTAATGGGTTAGTAAATGCTCACCTACGTTTTTACATAAAAGCATAAACATGCCAAAGCATGTTTATGGGCCAGAACTCCCTTTCCAGAAAACTGCTATAGGAAGCTGCTAGGAGGTGCTCAGGGAGTCCCAGAGAGAGAGAGGCTAGTGCAGCTCATGGGGCAGAAGGCATAAAGCACCATCCTGGTCCCTGCAAACCAGGGAGGGAAAGGGGGCGACAGGGAGGCAAGGCCGCAGCTCCATGAATGAACCGTGGGTTGCACCATGGGTTCTGGGAGCTCACCTCAATCCTTCCCAGGTTGTCATTCCCTCAGCTCCTTCAATTTGGTCTTTCTTTCCACTGTTTCCCGCCCCCACAGCCCTCATTAAGAAAACTATCATTTAAAGCCCCGGTTACAGCCGGGGTGGGTGGGGGTGGGGGTGAGAAAGTGTGCGAGGGAGGGGACTGTTAAGACAGGCTCAGAGCAAAGCAAAGCTTAGGTTCGTGGTCTTCTGACTCAAATCAGCCCTTGCGTGCCCGGCTGCCTGCCCCTGACTCCACACCATCCTGCAGATCCAAACTCCTGGCCACCCCGTGGGCATTCAGCGGGGGTGCGTATGACGCGGGCATTCGCAGGAGGTCGGCCAACTGCAGCAGCCCTACCGAGGGCCGCCGCACCCGGGCCCCTGAGCCCAGCAGTCCAGGGCTGGAAGGTGCTGGGTGGCCCGGGTGGGGGCCGCGCAGTCTGCCGCTGCAGCCCCGCACCGCTCCAGCCTATCAGGGGCCATCCAGCCACTCGCTCCGACCTGACCAAAATAGCTGCGAACGCCTGCGACTAGCGCGCGGCCCCTCACTTGACGCTCACTCCGACTCACTCGCCCGCTGGCCCTCCCGGGCCGCTCCGAACGTCTGGAGGGGGCGGGGAGGAAGCTGCCGGGGAGGGGGGGAGGGGAGCAAGGAGGAAGGAAGGAAGGAAAAAAAGGAAGGAGGGAGGGAGGGAAGGAAGAAGCAAGGAAGGCAGGCAGCCCTCCGCGACTCGGGGCTGCGCGGCGCGGGCTGGCGCGCTCTGGAAGGCGCGGCGTTAACCCCTTGAGGGCAGGCGGCGGAGGGGGAGCGGTGTTAAAACATAAGAGCACTGCATCACGCTAATCTTCTCCCCAGAACAGTATGCGTCAGCAGTACATTCACGTTCTGACTGAAGGACAAAAGGATGAGAGAGCAGTCTGCGTGGCTGCCGCCTGCAACACCGCGAGCCCGGCGCGAGGAGAAGACGGTGGGTGCCGAGCGCAGGGGCCCCGTTGCTGTCGCCGCCGCCGCTAGCCAGCAGGGACCATGTTCACGGGCTCCGGAGCGTTTCCCGCAGCCGCGACCCCCACTGCTCACGCCGCTGTCGCCAGAGCTCCGGCCGCTGCAGCAGTTCGCTGGCAGCTCGGCCGCTGAAGACTCCGGGAGCCCCAACGGCGAACTCGCACTCTCCGCACAAAACCGGGGCCGGCGGCGCGCGGGGAGCCCAGCAGTGGCGGGCGGCGGCGGGCGCTTGCGCGCTGCCGGGGGCTGCGGCCGCCGCCGCCGGACCCGCGCCCGCCCCCGGAGTCCCTGAAGGGGCCTGCGGTACGGGCGCGACCGCGGGCGCTGCGCGCTCCTCCGCTCGCGGACCGGGTCCCGACGCCACGTCCACACTGCTGCCCCTCCGGGGCTGGACGGATTACCGCTCCTCGCGCCAGCAGACGGCGGGACTGGAGAACTGAGCCCAGTTTTTGTCTTTTTAACCCTTTGGAGAAGAGGCGAGGAGAAAGGGGGTGTGTGCCTAGGGAGGGCGAAGGCGCAGCGAACACCTCTTAACTCTCGCAGCTCCGCGAGCTCACGACTGCAATCATCTGCCGCCAGCTCCAGGCGGCCGACGCCGGGAAAGCGGAGTGGAGAGCAGCGCAGCAGCCGGGGAGCGCGGCCTGGGCGGCTTCGGGGCGCCCCCGCACCCCCATCCCCCGCGACAGCCCAGGGAGAGGGCTGGGGGCGCCGGAGACACACTTTGGCGATGAAGCGCCTTCCCCCGCGGCTGGAGCGAGCTGGTGCCAGGGTCCAAGGACAAAGCAGGGAAGCGCTGGTGGCGCCGCTCCTCGGGATCTCGGGGGGGCATGCACCTGCATAGCCCGCCGGGCCTTGGCTCTCCCTGGCGCGCCTCAACTCCGCGGCTTCGCCGGCTCCGGATTTACTAGAAGCCATTTTGTCTCCCCCACCCCTCCCCTCCCCGCTGCCCTCCCTGCCCCCACTACTTCCCCCTTTGTTAATTAAAACTAAAGTCAGAATGGGAACGATGTACCCAGCTCCCGTGGAGAAAGCTTAAGGACAAGGCGCTAATTCTTTCCTGCTTTCCTTCCGAGGTAGGTAACAGCGAATTGGGTGGGGATGGTTGCAACGTGGGAGAGAAAAGTCTTAGCTTTCTATGGGCTGGCCTTAGGGGTGGGCTGGTGGATGAGGGGCCGCTCTGTAGTTTGGCAGGATTTTTCTAGGCCGATCTGCTCGTCTCTAATCGCCCCCTCCCCACCTCCTTCTCCAGATGGAAAAAGGAGCTCCTAGCTCACTTAAGCCGGGGTAAGGCTGGTTCTCTTTTCCAAGCCAAAATCCCAGGCGATGGTGAATTATGAACGTGCCACACCATGAAGCTCTTGTGGCAGGTAACTGTGCACCACACCTGGAATGCCGTCCTGCTTCCCGTCGTCTACCTCACGGCGCAAGTGTGGATTCTGTGTGCAGCCATCGCTGCTGCCGCTTCAGCCGGGCCCCAGAACTGCCCCTCCGTCTGTTCCTGCAGTAACCAGTTCAGCAAGGTGGTGTGCACCCGCCGGGGCCTCTCTGAGGTCCCGCAGGGTATTCCTTCCAACACCCGGTATCTCAACCTCATGGAAAACAACATCCAGATGATTCAGGCCGACACCTTCAGGCACCTCCACCACCTGGAGGTCCTGCAGCTGGGCAGGAACTCCATCAGGCAAATAGAGGTGGGGGCCTTCAATGGCCTCGCCAGTCTCAACACCCTGGAACTGTTTGACAACTGGCTGACTGTCATCCCCAGTGGGGCCTTTGAGTACCTGTCAAAGCTGCGGGAGCTCTGGCTTCGCAACAACCCCATTGAAAGCATCCCCTCTTATGCCTTCAACCGGGTGCCCTCCCTCATGCGTCTGGACTTGGGGGAGCTCAAGAAGCTGGAGTATATCTCCGAGGGAGCTTTTGAGGGACTGTTCAATCTCAAGTACCTGAACTTGGGCATGTGCAACATTAAGGATATGCCCAATCTTACACCCCTAGTGGGGCTAGAGGAGCTTGAGATGTCAGGGAACCACTTTCCTGAGATCAGGCCAGGGTCCTTCCATGGCCTTAGCTCCCTCAAGAAACTGTGGGTGATGAACTCACAAGTCAGCTTGATTGAGAGGAATGCTTTTGATGGGCTGGCTTCCCTTGTGGAACTCAACTTAGCCCACAATAACCTTTCATCTTTGCCCCATGACCTCTTCACTCCCCTGAGATACCTAGTGGAGTTGCACCTACACCACAATCCTTGGAACTGTGATTGTGATATCCTGTGGCTGGCTTGGTGGCTTCGGGAGTACATTCCCACCAATTCCACCTGCTGTGGCCGCTGTCATGCTCCCATGCACATGCGAGGCCGTTACCTGGTGGAGGTGGACCAGGCGGCCTTCCAGTGCTCTGCTCCCTTCATCATGGATGCACCCCGGGACCTCAATATCTCTGAGGATCGGATGGCAGAACTTAAGTGCCGGACTCCCCCTATGTCCTCTGTGAAGTGGTTGCTGCCCAATGGAACAGTGCTCAGCCACGCCTCCCGACACCCACGGATCTCTGTCCTTAATGATGGCACCTTGAACTTTTCTCGTGTGCTGCTCATAGACACTGGAGTATACACATGCATGGTGACCAATGTGGCAGGCAACTCCAATGCCTCGGCCTACCTCAATGTGAGCTCGGCCGAGCTCAACACCCCCAACTTCAGCTTCTTCACCACAGTAACAGTGGAGACCACAGAGATCTCACCTGAGGACATAACACGAAAGTACAAGCCTGTTCCCACCACATCCACTGGTTACCAGCCGGCATATACCACCTCTACCACGGTGCTCATTCAGACCACCCGTGTGCCCAAGCAGGTGCCAGTACCCTCAACAGACACCACCGACAAGATGCAGACCAGCCTGGATGAAGTCATGAAGACCACCAAGATCATCATTGGCTGCTTTGTGGCCGTGACACTCCTAGCTGCTGCCATGTTGATTGTCTTCTATAAACTTCGCAAGCGGCACCAGCAGCGGAGTACAGTCACAGCTGCCAGGACAGTAGAGATTATCCAGGTGGATGAAGACATCCCAGCAGCAGCGTCTGCAGCAGCAACAGCAGCTCCATCCGGTGTATCAGGTGAGGGGGCAGTAGTGTTGCCCACAATACATGACCATATTAACTACAACACCTACAAACCAGCACATGGGGCCCACTGGACAGAAAACAGCCTGGGGAACTCTCTGCACCCCACAGTCACCACTATCTCTGAACCTTATATAATTCAGACCCATACCAAGGACAAGGTACAGGAAACTCAAATATGACTCCCCTCCCTCAAAAAACTTATAAAATGCAATAGAATGCACAAAAAAGAGCAACTTTTGTACAGAGTGGGGAGAGACTTTTTCTTGTATATGCTTATATATTAAATCTATGGGCTGGTTAAAGATTATATTAAAATTTAAAAACAAAAAAAATTAAAACACAACTATTTTCTAACTTGTAAGTTCTATTTAAAGGGGGAGGGAAGGGAATCTTGGCAATGTTGTGGGTAGGAGCCTCAAGTCAACTGGTGTAAGGTGGAAACTGCTCAGACAAAACAAGCTACAACAACCAGCACCCCTAGAGAGGCAGGGTGTGGACTGCTGGGGGTAGGAATGATAGATCGCACCTGTCATTTTTTAGAAGATGCTTCACATGATATAGGAATACAATTTCTACAGACATCTTTCTTAAGCTGAGAGCTGTCTTTACAGATCTATCTTATAAAAATAATTTAAAAAAGCATCACAAATTTGTACTCTGCCAAAATGTTGAGAGGCAATAATTTTTTTTTCATAGGCAAAGGGGACGATAGATCTGTAAATATATTTTAGGTAGGAAAACCACCAACATTCAAATGAATCCTTAAAGGGGTTGTTTCTTTGTCCATGAGCACAAGTCCTCTGGGTTTGTGCCCTAAGACTTGCATGTATCTCCCCCGACAATGCTTCAGGACAGCTTAGAAGAAAGGGAGCTGGCGTAGCTCTCAGTCGAATGCTTTCACACTGCACCAGATTCCTGCAGTTGGGCATAACCCACTCTGCAAGGCATGTGTCTATTCAGGGTTTCCCGGGAGGAGGTGGCCAGAAGGGGGTGCGGCACTGGGGAAGGAGGGAGGCAGAAAAGCAGAGGGGATGATTCACAGGAGGCCATAAATTAGCATTGTGCCGAGTCCACCTGTTGTTCCGGGTATCTGACAAATGATTGTAGACAACGATGACATTTTATGATTTTTCAGAAAAGATCTTGTTTGTTTAAAGGTGGAGAAAGAGGAGAGGCTGGGAGTGGGGGAACTTAGGGGAGTGGAAGCTTTTCTCATGCTTGGGATTTGGTGACTATTCTAAATGCTGATTCATTAGGGATTATTACAGCTGATGCCAACTGGTTGTGGTGATGGAGTAGGGGCAGAACATGAGTAGCGAGAAAAAAAGGAGAGCTAAAAAGGGCACAGGCTCAAGTTAAAGAAGCCTTTGCCAACCAGGATGTTCGGGGGGGGGGGGGATGTGAAACCCAGTTACAACAAAAGTGACAAGCGGGCTCACACAACTGAGTCCTGCATGGAGTCCTGTTGAATGGGGCACCACGGAGGGAAGCTTCCCTCCCCTAGGCCTACCTCCAGTAGAGCTATAAGCAGGGGGCAAGATCTGTCATTCTGGTCAATTTAATGATGTAACTTTCAGTTATTATTTTAGCTTTAAGAGGAAATAAAGGGTTCAGATTTGAAGGGGGTGGTATGGGTGGGGGGAATGCCAACAAAAGAACACTGATTGTAATGTGAGAAAAGTGTATTTTTGTATTTTAATAAATATTGTTCAATTTTTAATTCAATGTCCCCAAAGGGTTAAATTGAATAAGAAGACCCTGAACCTACACAGTCTTATAAGTATTGGCCAAGTCATTTATATTTAAATAAAGGGGGTGGGGGGGGAGGGAAGAGGCACGATGTGGGGAGGAAGACAATGTTAATTTTTTTTAAAGTGTGGGAAAATGCTAAAAGCTGTCAACCACATTTCTTTAGTTTAAATAAATGCACCCCGACTCCAGTGCATCTTCCACAAGCTAAGTGTGTTAGTCCCTGGCTTTGTTGGGGATATAACCAAATTCCCCACGCCCTGGAAAAGCAGGGGAAATGGGTCAGCCTCAGCTCCTGGGACCTGGCCAGAAGTGAACTGCCACCTCAGCAGAACCTGATGGTTAGGCAGTACCAGCTCAACCCAAGGACCCTGGGAGGCTTGGATGTAAGAGGGCTGCAGTAATGTAGTTTGGCTGCAAATTCCCATAGGCAGTGCTGTTTCCCCAGGGCCAAATAGTTGGATGTGTGTTGAAAGAGGTGGGGGTCTGGCTCTGAGGTTCACAGAACGATGACTTCCAGGGAGGCTCCATGAACAAGGACCCTCGTCAGCACATTTATACTAATGCAGAGGATGAGGACTGACTGGCATTACTGAGGGAAAGAAGCAGGTAGCACTTCGCAGTAGTTGGCAAAGAAATCGTCCTAGGTATACAGATCATTTCTGGCCATCAGTCCTAAGATAAGCTGGTACGCACTTACAATGCAGGCAACAACGGTTGGTTCTCTGTCCTTTTAGCACTCTACCTCTAATAAAAAAAGAAAACTGCAGCAGAGCAAAGGATGGGACTTGGCTATGATCAGATGAGAATTCAAGAAACGGCTCTGTCCCCTAGTGCTACACAACACAACTTGGGCTGTTGGGAACAGCGGGTACACACTCTGAGGCAAGTGACAACAAAGTTGCTGCCTCAGCACCACAAGGTGGGGTGCTGACTTCCTAACATCCCCTTCTTTTTGTGACAGCTGCCTGGGAAGTCAGAAATTCTGCAGTAACTGAAATGACAAAGGTCTGAGGACAGAGGCGGAGGAATAATCCTAAGGAGGAATGCCTTTGTTCTCCCATGAGCATATTCCAGTCTGAGAACCGGAGGGAGAACTGCTTCCTAGAAGGAAACTGAACGATGGGGGTAGGAGGATAAGAAGGGGGACCCTAGGCAAAAGTATCCTGGGCATGTCAGGGACAGCTCTTTCCCCAGTGGGCCTATCCTTTGGCCTGGCACTCTTCCGCAGTTAGGCGCTTGGGACAGTTTTTCGGAAGAGCCTCAGGAGCACTGAAGTGAGGCTCCAAGGCTGTGTTAGTGAGTCATTCTCAAGCCTGGCTGGCCAAGCTGTAAGGCTGGTTACCTGGGAATGGAACGTGGGTTGGTAGCTCTTCAGGGGTAGTTATAGCAACACATTAGAGCAAAGACTGGCTAGTATGGAATTACAGACTTTTCATTACAGAATTTTTAAGGTCATGAAAATTACTTTAATTTTAAAAAATATTTTCTGGTCAAGGAAACTGAGCTCCACAGAAATGAAAAGACATACCCAAGGTCATACTGAATGTGGGAGAGGTGGGACTAAAGCCCGGGTCTCCTGACTCTGAAGCCAAATGTGTTTTCTCATTGAGGCTCTTATTGGCTAGCAAGAATGTGTTTCTTTCCATGCTAATATGCAGCTAAAATGGGACTTCCTACAGATACAGATATGTGTTCTCTTCTTCCATAAAGAGCTGTTCTCTTTCCACCCCACCCAGCTCTGCTACTCTGTAAGGCCTGACCACAACTGACAATGGGAGCTCCATGTGTGTCATAAGTGCTGGATTCTGCACGTACAGCTTCTGGAGTCCTAGACCCAGTGGCAGACAGAAACTGCAGAATCCCACAAAGGGTGGCAGCTACAGGAGGAAGATGAAAGTAGGTATGTTGGTGTGTTTCCAGTGAGAAATTTGCCTTCCTCCCAACCATGGACTGGGGAGCGTTGCAATGTAGATGACTGACAAGGTCTTAAAGTTCCTATTAGAGAAAACCTCTACAGGAGTGGTCTGCTTATATGGCTCAACAATGATAAGCCTGGGATGGAAGAACAGGACCTTAGTTCCTTGACCTCTGCTACCTACCTATCTAGTTTTAGCTCATTTAAAATGTTCATATCTGTCTGTTTAGTGGCTGTTGTGATCTGAGGCTAGAACTCAGGCCGTTAGGCTTGGTAATGAGTGCCTTTACCTGCTGAGCCATCTTGCTAGCTCACTAGCCTTAGTTCTGTAAATGTCGCACTGTAGTTACCATTTCTATAATCTCTAGTCTTCTCATCACACTGGTGTGATAATGCTGCACCACATTATCAGTGCAGGTAGGCAGGCTAGTCTCTAAGGCTTACAGATACTAGTTTATCGTGGCTATACAACACGTATGGAGGCCAGCAACTTAACTTCCTGGGTAGACCAACGTGAAAAGCCCTCCTGCAAGACAATTCCTATTGTTTACAGGCAGGAGGCTCAGAATCAATTGCCTCTGGCTTCCTGCACTGGCCGGTGACTATGAATAGCAAGAGGGTTAGGTGGGTCCTTCTTACACTGGGCTTCTATCTCAGGAGGATAGGGTTTAAAATTTAGGGTCTACCATTTCAGTGCACTAAAGCAGTAAAGGCTTAAAATTAGAGGAGAGAAAGGAGAGAGAACACTTATACATCTAAACATATGTCTGGTTTTATCTCCTCTGCTGGCACTCAGCACACCATGCCTCCGCCTAATGCAGGGACTGTTCACGCCATTTCTAAACTCTGCCTCAGCTAAACTGCGAGGCAGTTTGGCTCCTTTGGTCTCCATCCACTTAGAAAGCACCCTTTTGTTTGTAGGGGGAAGAATGGCTTAGCTACTGAGCTGTTTCCATCTTTGCTTTAAATTAAAATAAGTAAACTACATCTTGAGCAGGTTTAAGGAATTAAAAAAGTAGGTCATTATCATTGTTGCCCCCCCTCCAGGGTCCCCTCATACACATGAGGGGCGGTTAGGGAACATGATGTTTGCAAAATAGATTCTGGAGCCAGTATCCTTGGTTGAATTCTAGCTCCATACTTCCTAGCTCTAACTTAGGCAAGTACTTAGTGTCTTCATCTTACAGCTGAAGACAGTATTAATTAGTGTGTACTTCACTACTTCATAGGCTGTTGTACACATTGAAAATTGTATATCTCACACTTAGCGTGGTGGCTGACATTGTATAGTAGGTACTATATA